TACACAATGAAGTTTGTGCGATTTTCCCTACAAAATTTGACTAAATTTGCAAAGGCATCCAAAATAGGTAGCAAAAATGCGAACTATGTTATGTAGTAATATTTTTTTGCCTGCGGTTAGCACAGGTGGCCGGGAAGGGGTTTAGCCAAAAGCGAATATGTTGCTTATAACGAAACTATCTGCCAATCAGTATGGAGACCACACCTAAACAATCTCCTCTCCCTGAAAGAATGCCCAGTCCGCGAGGTTCGAGGATAAACATATGTCCTTGGACCGCTTTGCATTGAGGGGATCTTAAGAAGCCGGTACTACAGAATTTTAAGGGCACAGCGCAAAGAGACACTTGCTGATAATGGGTGCTCCTTCAAACGCTTGTCTAAAGACGACAGAATTTGAGATGTGGTAGAGACACAAGGACAGCTTTGGCCTCTAAATGCCTCATTGCAAGGAACGAAAAGACTCCTCAAGAAGACAGACAGAGCACACAGTGTATGAGAGGACAGGGTTAGGACGATAAACGCGGGTCTGCATGTCAGAGAGACAGATTCGGAAGAGCTGAACCACTATTCCTGTGTTCTGCAGGTTAGAAAAGGCCCATGCATTTGAAGGCGCAGAAGCAAACGGAGTTGGCGAAAGAGCAAACAAAATTTCACCCTGAGGGTCCATGAAAAGAGGCCGCAGGCACAAGCGGAGGTCCCTTTTATCCTAAGCTTGGACTCGTACAGAACAAAGAGGGAGAGAGAGAGAGAGCTGAGTTCTCCGCGCAAACATCTTACTACATCAGTAGAGTTTAGAACTCACTTTTATGGGCGATACACGACTATTTCAAATGAAACACTTCAGTGACTTAGCATAGATAACAAGCTTGGCTTATTCGAGAGTATTACCGACAATAAGAGAAACTTAAACGAACATTTGACCTGCACCCAGTGATGGAAATAACATTTACGTAAGTCGCAGACAGGTTGACCGCAAATCGCCGAACAGCAAAGGGCCTCCACAAGATCATCAAAAGGTAAACATTGGTACCCAGAACTCCATGTACGTAGTTATCAAAGCAAATTCTGAGTTAGTAACTTGGACCTGACATATTTCAACACGGCGTACCTTGCGTGGACTCCGCATCTTTTCGCGTTTGTAATCCTCGCGAACCTTCTTGCGCCTTGCTTCAAGTTCGTACTCTCGGGCAATCTGCCTGTTCGGTGGCATGCCGCTCAGGGACCTTATGGTGCATATGTCCAGGTTCTTCTCTAATTGCTGTCAAATTAAGACAAAAGCAGTTTACATCAGAATATACTGTTTTAACGAATACTATGGGCAATAGGGGAATTGCACAGACAGGAACTGCTCGCTGAGAAGCGAGATCGGACCGGTGACCTCCGATCCCGAGTCTGGTGCTATGTCCCTGAGTTATTGCGTCCACCTTGCAGCTGGGCGTGACGTCATCCTGAGTTGCGGCGAACATACCTCAAGTCTGCACAACCCTAATTCTTGTACTGAAGGACAAATTTCCCCAGCGCAGTCAGGCTATGCTGTACGTCCTAATGACTAGGTCACTTTTATTCAAGCAGACTGTGGTCTAAGGAGCAATCACCTGACTTAGACCTTTGATCCGCTTTGGAGAATAATTATAGAATGCAAGTACTCAATGCTCAGGACAGCCTGCGTGTTAAATGCTAATTACTCTTTATGTAGTATCGGTCATGCGGTTTTCATCAGGGGTGGAAAAGGGAACGGCCGATTTCTAGAATTAGCAAATTTCGACAGTGAGGACACAGGAACAAAACATGCATCTTTGTGGGTCACATTAACTAAAATGCACTCAAAATGAATTACCGGTCCACGTATGCGTTGATGCTTTCCAATAAGGCTGAGTAAGCACCTGTGGTATCGAACAATATGGGTGGGACCCTTACAATCCGATCACTCAGAGCTTAAATCTAGGTTAGCCTCGAAGATCCTAAGTTGGGGTTAAAAACTCAGGCTTTCCTGATCTGGGTCGGCCCGTTACCGGTGTATCGAGGCAAGCGGGTCATAAACACGCATTTCATGTAATGAACAGGAGAAGCGCTTCGTTTTGGCATGGGCTGTACTGGCTGTGCGTTAACTGACACACGAAAGTTTCACTAGCTTAAGTCCTCCTATACTTCTTTCCCGCAGATAGCTGGAAAGTTGGTGGTCTTTTTCACTGTCCTGCGAAGTCGGAAAACGCAATGTGTCCTCGACTTTGATTAAGCCTTTAAGGATATGAAAGCAGGTGGCATTCCTCGTAGTGGGCGGGAGTATTGCTGTTTTATAATAACCGAATCGACACTGTCAAGTGTCTCTACTTCGCCCGCGCTAAATGCTGCATCCCATCTGTCCATCTCGGAAAGGACTACCAGTGTTTGTGGGCGCCGTTGACTTCCGTATGATTTGGATTAAAGCGAGGAAGACTTCGCAGCATCGTCCTCATCTATCCAGCATGTCTCATGGTGTTATATTGGCGGGATTTAGTCAACTGAAAAATATGGGCCAGAGTGATGTACCGGGCGATTTATTCCCGTCACATATTTGCCTTACACTAACTGAAGCGGACTAGACCAAGAAATAGCAGACGCAAAATAGAACCCACCGATTTTCGAGATATTGTAGGAGAACAGGTTTTGATACTTTCAATAAATACAAAAGACGACCAAGGCTCATTCTTGTGGAAGAAGCCTTGACATATTGATTCTGATATCTGAACGTCGTGGTATTCGAACTAAGGCAGCGAGACAAAAGCATTAAACTGTAGTCCATTGGAATTTATCCCCTTTACTTGATATTCGTCCTAGGTTTTCCAAACCAACAAAAGTTTGGCAGGAATGCTGACTTACCGATACTTTCTTTACCAGCCGGTCTCTTTCAGAGTTGCTGATTATAAGTTCAGCGAATCTAGTTTCCATTTTCCGACGCAACTGAAACAACTTCGACTGGACACCATTCACTTGCAACGCAAGAAGTAGTGTGTCATTCCTAGGAAACAAAAACATGCAGGATAATTCCCACTGATGTTCGTGTTGAAGCCTGCCACTTTATTGGCCGGTTGACGACCTTCGTGTAGAAGGACTTACAGCCTATTTTTATAAGAAATAGGATGCGTTATGCTTGGCAGCTAGGCGTCTAACCCGAGAGTACTTGCACTTGGAACGGCTGCGATCATGCCTGATCTAACCGGCCTCGATGATGTCCCAAAATCTACCTCTCCACCCGTGACGATCCGCAGCAGCAGATCTGGACAGTTCAACTCATTCTCTCCGCCAACGACGGAGACCGAATGCCGAAGGTCCAAGAACCATCTTCATGTCTTGACGAACTGTGTCGAGCCAGGTTTTGAGTTTACTCCCTCTTCGAAGTCTCCAATGGGCTTAACGGTTCCAGGTCGAGGACAGTAACACTGAGCTCCTGAGGTGGACGACGAAGAACATGCCCAAACCACCTCGGTCGTCTTTCTTGGATGGCCTGGGTTATCCTCGCGAGGTTGTCGCAGCGAGCGCGGACTGTCTCATTTGAGACGAAGTCGGTATACTTTCTTCGAAGGATGGTCTTCAAGCAGTGGTGGTCAAATACCTCCAGTTTTCGCTCGTCCTCCACGCGCACAGCCCAGCATTTACAACCGTAGAGAAGGACAGACCGGAAAGATGCACGGTGCACGCGAATCTTAGTGGCGATGGAGATGCCGCATCGGATCACTAGGCATTTTCTATGGCTTGAGAAAATCCGATGGACAGCATCGATTCAGGAGACGATGTCGTCCTTACTCTGTCCATTCAGCAGCGGCCTCTCGCCGAGGTATTTAAAACTGTCTACTTTAAGTTGACAGCTAACAATCCCGAGAGGTGTCTTCTTCTGGTCAGGGATGCAGCTTGAAAACACTTTGGTCTTCCCAGTGTTTATGGATAAACCGACCGATTTCGCGACCTCGTTCACCCGTGACAACATAGACTGCAGACCACCAAAACTGGAAGCAAGTAAGGCGATATCATCGGCATAGTCGAGATCAGTCAGTCGGTGTCCAGGCGCAAAATCAACACTGTCATCTTCGTGTAGGACCCTCCCGAGAATCTAGTCAGTGGCGTAGTTGAACAGAATGGACGGCAGGATACAGCCCTGTCGGACGCCAGACCGAATACCAGACGGTTGGAAAGATTGTTGTGGACCAGAACTTGCACAGTGGAGGAGCTGTAATAGGCCTTGATCATGGCGATGTTTTTTGGCGGCACATCATCTAAAACAGACGGGGAATGCTGGGGGACGTACTGACGAGCCGCACCCTCGCAGCTGACAACTTAGTTCTTATTTACTAGTTTTTAACTGTTGGGATACTGCTATCGTCGTTTTCTGGACAGCCTACTCACTGTGCCCAACTAATGGGCTTATCACTTATACGTGTATGGAATTTTGGTTAGCACCTGTGCTGTTAGTATGGTATCACCTTACCCCTTAAGTACACCATCTAGTGGCATTATCCGCCACGGGGACTCATAGTGGACGGAATCGAACGTGGCAGCGAAGTCAACAACGCAAACGGCCGTCGGTTGCTGGTAGCTGTGGCGGAATCTGAGAATGAGCCTCAGTTTAAATACGTGGTCGGCACATCCACGTCTAACACGGAATCCGGCTTGGTTAGGCCTCGACCTAGAGTAACGCACAACCTGAACTCGCCTAGGAAGGCCACTGGTGAAGATTTTTGCAGCCACGCCGATGAGACCTATGTCGCGGTAGTTTTTGCGTCTCGTCTTATCTTCCTTTTTGGGGATAAGTACAAGGATACCCAAACCCCAGTCATCGGGAGCAACCTCGTCTCCCCACGCCCGTTCAGTCACTTCATGGAGCCAGGATGTCAAAGTGTCGACACAATACTGGCAGATTTCAGCGAGTATACCGTTCTCCCCGGGTGCCTCATTGTTGCGTAGCCTTTGTATGGCATCGACGGCTTCTCTTTGGGAAGGGGGGTCGCATGGCACTGGATAGGTTGGCTAGGGGAGGAACTCCGCTGCAGAGGAAAGCAAGAGCGGGGTGGGTTGGGCATCGAAGTTGAGATGGTGCTCAGAGTGCTCACGCCAGCGTCCGACTTTGGCCGAGTTGTCAGCAATAAAGCCGCCGTTCACGTAGCGAACAGAGTCACTCAGTGCAGAGGGCCTACCACTAACTTGGTGGATAAGTTGGTAGAGTTTTCGGTCTGATGTGGTTTGGTAGCCCCACCTGAAGAAAGCAAACCCCGGTCACTTCTAGTACGGGACCGGTGGTAATAGGGTTTTTAACAGGTGGGGCCGGGGAACGCACAGGTGACGAGGTCAAGTAGTTGCATACAAAAGAAAAGCCATTGGGAATGCGCGGTTGTACTTTGAATGGGTGAGAAATAGTTACGCTAACCCCTAACCCTAACCCCTAACCGTAGTCCCTAATCCTAACTCCAAACCCTAACTCTTAACTCCAATCCCAACAGTATTGTGTCCATCAGGTGGAGCTACCAAACCACATCTTACCGAGTGTCACCAACTTTCGAGACCTGCTCCATGGATGTAGCTATTTCAGTCTCATGTTTCCCTAGGTCATCCCTGGTCGACTATGCCATCATCTTCCAGATTTGACGGAAGGAATCAGCACTACGGAGCTGGGTCGAGTCGTCTGGGCAGACAACTCCAGGTTCCTTCCTTTGATCCAGTTACTGCAGCGTCGATGGGAATATCCAAGGACTTTTTCAGCTGCCCCATAGATGATTTCATTGACGAACATTGGCTAATGCGCTCTCCGTCGGCTCGGCTCGTAAAACAAGACCGAATTTCTCTGCTCAGGGCCTCGACAATACCGGTTTGCCTAATTTTTGCGACATCGAGGCGTCTAGCACGTGGCATTTTTGGTGCAGATGAGAGGTGAACTTTCAACCATGTACGAACGAGAACATGGTCCAACCCATGGGCGTTACCAGTCTCGGCACCATGCGTCGATGCACTATAGTGAATCCAGCTGCGAAACCTTGAGTTGACTATAATGTAAACGACCTGAATGGCCGTATGACCATCGTCTGAATACCAGGTCAGTAGATTTTTATTGCGATGCTGAAAGCATATGTTCGTGACAAGCAGTCGGTCCTTATCAGCAAAGTTCAGTAATCACTCGCTATTGTCACAGCACGAACCAAACGGAAAGCAGCCAAAAAGATGGCTGCTTGTAGGGTCGTCAGGTCTGGTTCGGCCATTCCAGTTCCCGGATAAAATTAGCAGATCGCGGTGAGGGGGTCATTCAATTAACAGTAGCAACTGCAAGTGAAACGCCTCTTTATTGCGCTGTTCGGCAGCTGAAGTTGGTGCTTACACAGAAATGATAGAAATGTTCACGAAGTGACCCTTCAGTTGCCCGTAGACCATCCGGCCATTGACTGGTTCCCAAGCAAGTAACGCGAGGCCGGCTTGTTGCGATAGGGCGAATGGCACACCGTGTCTACCAAAAAGCCACGTGTGGAACAGGATGAAGTGTGAGTTGACTACAGAGATCTTCATTTCCCTAGAGCCTGAGGCAGGAATTCGAACAGACAGCAGACATCCACGTTGTACTGATTAAGGCTGCGTGCGGTCAGACTTTGGGTACCGGGGTACAGGAAAGTTCGCACATTCCAGCATCCAATACCGAGAGTCCGTCCTCGATTGAGTAGTGCAGCTCGCATACTGTTCGCCCTCAGCACTGGACCAGGGTCACGGGACGCGTCGGTTTCCGCGGACGCCATAGTGTGGGTCGTAATACTTTAGTCGGATAAATTTCACGAGGTTTCTTGGGAATATTGAGTGCAGGCGGGTTCCCAACAGCCGCACGGATTGTTTGTTCAAGGTTGTTTGCTCTAGCGCCTTGGTTTAAAAGCCTAACCGCATGGCTGCGGTGGCAAACAATTTTATTGAATGGTGGTTCACGGTCATCATGTCCCAATGCCGTCATAGGGCTTTGCGGCTTTTTTATAAGGCTTTCAGCGTGCCGGACCTCAACCCTCCGCACCCTGCTACCACTGTCGTTACTGGTCCGCGACTACTTATTCGCCAGACCCGAGTCTATTTATTACGCAGTTAACCTTCATTGAAAGCCATCCTACTATCCACCACCTGTGGATGCGCCGCGTGGCCAACAGCTAAGCTAACGGGCAACCCGTCTTCCCCGCCAACCTGAGAGTTTTAGGACGGTGTAATTACAATGCGGAGCATGCTCGTCTCATTGCGCTTTGCAGTCCAGTCTAGAGACCTTACAGACACTCGCATTGCAACGAGTAATATGTACATAAAAAGTACCGACACAGAGAAATGCGGCTGGAATGAACAATTCAGGCTTATCAGACCCCGCCAGTCTCAAGTTTAGATGACCTACAATTGCACGTTAAGCCTAACGTTCTAGCATTAAGCGGCGGATGCATTATTCTGTCTGCTGAGAAATGGAATGTTAACTAACGTGGAAGGCATGTTGGTTGAGCCAGCTGTAGTATGGAACCTCGTATCGTTGTGCCCTGTAGCTTAGTCTAGCTCTTTCCCAGGCAGTTGGATGGTGCAGCCAGTAATAATGCAGAATGAGTACCGGCGAAAACAAGGGGACAGGGTGTCTGGTAAGTTACCACAACAAAGCGTACCGGCTGGCGTCAGTTTTCACACGCAAAGCATCCACAAGACGACAGACTGCTTCGTAGATAAGATTTTTTTCTGAAAGATCCTCCTCCTTGATTGATAAACGCTTCTCCAACTTGCCCAGAATGACCCACAGTTCTGATTGGCTGGGGTCAACACCACCCAGCAAACGAAGCCTACCCACCCTGTCTGGGTCTTCAAACCAGGACACAAGCTGAGCCTTCCGAGCGCGCAACCCTATAAGCTGTCAGATGAGCAAGATAAAAAATATCTAAAAGAATGGAAAGAAAAAGAACTATGGAAAATTAGAACAAAGTCACCGTCTCATTATAATATCGGATAGTTAACGAGGGTAATTCGATGCAACACTTTTTCTGACTTATTCTGCCTCCATTCATTTTAGCATAGTCCTGAGCACAATCTACGATCATTATCACGACGCAGACGATCCGCAGATACGGTTTATCGGTCGGTCAGATGTATCAGAGCTCTTATCCCACTGATTCATGAAATGAGCTGGAACTAATGGGACATTTATTGTTTCAGGCTTTTAGTCTGCTAATAAACTGAAGTTTCTCTGTGAATATGCTGTATCTGCTTTCATGAGGCAGGTATCGGCCAGTGTTCCATTTACTTCTGTTCGAAAAAGACGGCTCATATCATCTTATCCCTCGGAAATGCGGAAGACCAGAGACACTTTTTATCTGATCATCTTTGTTACAGTCCCTTCAATAGATGGATGCTTTTTGGTCATCCAAGTAAAGAAGGGAGTTTCACAACGTTAAAAGTTAGCAGTTGTAGCGAGCGAGCACAGTTTCGTTTGTATAAACAGTGCCACTGTAACCATATGTTAAATTACCTAGATATACTTGCACGGAAACCCGTATCATCTGTTTGAGTTAGATCCTTTTAAAATAACCTGCACTTGATTTGGGCTGAGGGGACACTTCGTCAGGAAAAACTAACGTGGATTGGGACCAACAGATCACTGCTCCAAAACTGAGTTCCGCAGCAGTACTCTTCAGGGAGTTCAAACGGAGTCTCCGTGTTCTGTGCTTCGCAGCGCATGCGATTTATGTATCAGTTCAAGGTAAGGATCGGGTGAAGGACCCCAAACATCTGTGGCATGCGAGGAATACCTATTTTACTTACATAAGTTGGTTTTAGTTCAGTTCAAGTTCGATTGCTATATGTTAATGCATTAAAACTTTTCCGCACAAAAGAACGGATTTACCAACTATTTATAATTATTTTGCCATTCCTCTATGCATACATAGGCCCCGGCCGTAAAACCCCTATTACCACCTGCTAATCATTCCATAGCAAAACCGGAATGTTAGAGAAAGTCGCTTTTGCATCGGACTTCAGAAATAAAAATCGGAAATCTGGAAAGTATGCGAGTTGTCGATTGACACAGTCTACTACGATTAGGTTGGAACTCATTTTTTTCAGTGCTCCAACTCATATCAGTATGCCCACTCAAGTGAACTAGATATAATCAACATTACCTCGAGGGTTTATCGCATCTCATCCAGACAGTCGCTTAAAATAGCCAAAAGTTTTTGTCATCTCTCATACAACCACAATTTCGCATTCAACGAGCGCGCCTTTACGTTGTTCGACACAAGCGTACAGATTGAAGAGAAACCGTATTTTAACAGATAGAACTCTGTAATGATTTCTACCTCACTAACAACACAGGTATTAGCTAATACCTGTGTTTTTAGTGAGGTAAAAATCATTACACGGTTCTATACTACTGGCTGCCCGTTGGCGGTTTGTGAATATTAAGCGGCTATTCCGCAGTTGCTGATGGATTTCAGCTCAAATATTCATATCAAAATTTGGAGCGTGCCTGAAAAGGCCCGTTTCAAAAGATTTACTCCAAGTTCGCGCATTAATTTCCTCGGAAATTAAACAAGGCAGATAGAACTCTACCATAGTGAGTTTTTATCTTTGATACTGGTGTGAGTGTAAGCATTGGAGCCATTTTTATCCACTTTGGTGTTCAGTCTGACTTTATGTAAGTACAAACGTGGGTAGGTCATGTCTCTGTGTTAAGGTAGCTTTTCCAAACCCTTCCTCTGCGTTCACGATTACATACCTAACACAGGGAGCTAGTACATCAGTGGTGGACAAAAACTACGATTTCTTTGATGAGCTTTGCAAAGAATTTCCAGCCATGTGGTGTACGAGCCAGGACGCTCAGGTAAATGTATCAAGGCAGACACAAACAGGCCCACTTCCATGAAATTTTCCCGCTCATTAGTCTGAACAAGTAAATTAATCAAAGCCGTCATCGTATGCGGTATCGGAATACCGAACTGACGCTCGCAAATTATTTATCGCTCAAAATATGAAACACGGTGGCGCCTTGAATTACCACCGATTCTCGTGGTGTATGGAAACGCTTTGTACAAAGTTATTTCCGTCAGACTCCCGAAACACCTTGCCGCAGTGAAATTACTTCTAGTTTAGTCTTCAAGCAATACCTAACTACTACATCTAAAGCAAAAAATCAACGAATTTTGGGAACGCAACCTTAGTAGCACGTTGGAATTGTAGGCGCGCGTTTTACACAACAGGCCTTTAAATATGCTCCTCATAGGTATAAAAGCTGACTGAAAGGCTGCTATTTCAACGCTCAGAATCCGAACTTAGGTGGCTGGCTTTTCGAATTGGAATTCCGAGTAATTGTTCTCAGCAGACCAGCCTGACAAGCGTTCAATAGCCGAATTTTAGTAGGGACAGCCACAACTGCGGAGAACCAAACACAGGATTATAAGTCTTACTGTCAGTTATCATTACGGTCATGTTATGCTGAGGTAGAGGTAGAATAATCTACTTGCAGACAGGACTTGCGGAAGACTGTTTGAAGGACTGAAACTAGCCTAAGTAGTCGATCTCAGCCCTGTTTAGCAGCTAGGTAGGGCTCACAGTCCTTTATTACTAAATTGCCTGCCAGTTAACCTGTTTTTTTTTCGAAGTGGGTTCAGCCTGGTTAAGGAGGCTTCGGCGTTATTGCCGAGTGGCAGGCATCGCTGTATTGAGACCTAATAAATAAAAGCGGCCAAAATCAGTAAACCAATACATATTCGGTGTACAAAGCTGAATGCGAAATAACCAGTAAGTGGTCTTCATAATTCTGACCTGGGTGCACCTCTGCGTTAAACACTTGCGGTTGCAGAAAATGGGGCTTTACTCACACTTAATCTACAAGGCCCGTTTTCCAAACTACCACAGTCGTGCCAGTCAACAGCTTTGTTCATGGGCTCAGCTTCTTATGCCACAACGGGAAACTTCTCGGGACCAAAAGGCAAGCCAGGTTTATATGGACAACAAGTGTCTTTATTACACTTCGGGCATTCTACCACCTGAAAGAGAATGGTGATGAACTGGTTAGTCTGGAGTAGTCAGCAGCCTTTCTCTTACAACAGGTCATTCTCTTTTTCAGAAGTCAGCAGTGAGACACCAAAGAATGCGTCTTTTTTGCTTAATGTCTGTTCGCTTATTTTCTCCTAAAGTTTCAAAATGAATTTGACAATTTTAGGACTGAAGGTGAAATCCACTTGCTACCCAGCTGGTAAATACGCATGATTGGGAGTTAAAACGATGTACACACCACGAAAAGAACTTATCTTCTTTGAAAAACTCACGAAATATAACAAAATGATTACTTTTCTGAAAGATTATTCGGAGAACTTGGAGGCTTACATTTCCTGCCGAAAACATAAACACACCCTCAGTCCCAACAGATATCTGTTTGAAATCTAAATTTAAATTGCCACAGTGTTTCGTAGCATCGTATATTTTGTACTTTTCGTCTACTTTATGCCACCCAACAGTATGGTAGTCCAGAACAATAATTACCCGAAAGTCTCTTTGAAAGGAATGCCCGACAACAAACCGCTGAGTGCAAGGGTTAAATACCAGAACTAGAGTTTATTAAGTATAGGTAAGATTTTCAACATTGTGATTGATGGCCAACCGAGAAGATGAAAGAGGATGAACTCTTTTTTCTTTTTGGTCGGTATCTATTCTACTAATATTGGATAGACCTACAGACGTAAACTGGCATGCCAAATGAAATAAGCACATATAGGCTTAGGAAGCCTAAGCTAGCTGATTCTTGTAAAGGGGCTCAAATTAACTATTAATTTAATGGGCGAAGTGTGAAAGAATTATATCGGAAAAATTAATAGACAGTTTTAATGTGAACTTGCTGGGTCATGCCGCTCGTCCCCACGGAAGAGTAGCATGATAAAACTAATTGTCGCTTTTATTTACTGGAAGGCAGTACTTGCAGCGTTGCACGCATCTCGATCACCCGCCACTGTTCCTCTGCATTGACACATTCCAGTGGGAACAAAGTCAGTTCTGGAAACGGCTAAAAGTGCCTTGGAACCTGGGGTTTGGTTTTGCAGAAGACAGGGCTTATGGTGTGCCGGGGTCTGTTATATGCTCAACTGAAAGCAGACCTACTCCGACAAGAAGTATCGTTATTCCTTAAATCAAAGCAAAAGGTAGGAATGGGAATACTTTTACCTCAGTCCGACCGTCGAAGTGCGCGCATGACCATCATAAAGTTCGCTTACCCTGCGTTCGTCTGACATGAGCGACTAGTAAGACTCGCCAAATTTACTACAAAAAAAGGGGCTACAGGGCATTTGAAATTCAGTTAAAACGAACTACGGGAAGTAGTTTAAAATTCGCGGTGAGCGAACAGGACAAAACGACATGATGCAGGCAATGGACTTGGGACTGTACTCATAGACGCTAAGAATTCGGAATTGCAAAGACATAACCAGCCCTGATGTTTAGTCCGAATTCGATCCAGTGGCTGAAAAAGGATTTAAGGATAGGCGAGAGGTGGGACGGGAGGTGGCCTACCTGCTGAATGAGTCCCCGAACCGTGCCCTCGAGGCGATTCTTGTGTGGCACCTGCTCCTTAACCAGATGAACGAACCGCTTAACCTGGTCCAGGTACAGTTGTGAACAGGCATACTCGTCCTCAAGACCTCGGAGCGCCATTTTAGCGGCTGCCATTGCCGTGTCTTGGGCCTTTTCTCGCTCCTTTAATAGGACCACGGAGGAAATGGTAGACGTGAATCTGGTTAGAGGGTGCAAGTAGGTATTTTTTGTCACATAGAAGAAATTTTGGAAGGAGAGATAGTAGTTTCTCAAAAAATCAGACCAAAAATTGCCTCGTAAGTGGCGGCAAACTCCCCATTGACCATCGGAAATTGTCGCCGTCATCACCTGTTGTACTGCAATAGCGAATCCCCTTAGGTCATGAAGTCTTGAAAAGCGGTTTTTACTTAAATGTACTTCAAGAATCGTCTTTGCTCTTCAGCCCACTGGCTGTCAACGGTCGAGCGATATTTGCCCTGCAAAAGGCGTACTAAGAAAAAAATTGCAGGTTTTTAACATCTGACCTGAGCGTCTTGAGCTCCTGGTGATTTTTTTGATTCAGAATTCGGTGCCTTTCTGGGATTTCTCGCACGGAGGGACACCCGTTGCAGCATTATTATGTTTCACCTGCTATCTAACATACACTTGCCTTGTCTGGTTGCTAGGAGTCACTTTTAGGCTTTTTATGGCTCGATTATAGCCTAGTGGGTGTGAGTTCATGACCCATGCTAAAGAGCGTTTGCCACAACTGCCGACGAGATTCAGACGGAACACAGAGTCTGCTCAGCCTGGAGTTAGGGCATAATTGAATGGCGATGTAAAAGTGACCCAGAAATGATCGCGGGAGTTCAAAGGTACACCGTGCGTCTGGACTTATGGCAGGGATGGTTTTACAAGGACGAAAGCCAGTGATACCTTGGGAAGGTGGCCTGAACTTTAGGCCCGATATCTCCTCCTTACCTGAAAGGAGGCACGCGTTTTTTTCGTAAAAAGACTGTTAGCATCATCTTAATGAACAGGCAATCATCGACGGAGCAAACAGATGATATTCGGCTGATGTTCCACAAGTTCTTAATTATTCTAGTGGTTCCAAAACATAAACATCCTAATAGGTCACAGACAGCATACAAGTAATGAGTTTCAACAGCGACTGTTCAATCAGTCATAAATGCTGGGAGGTGGGACGGTCCTACTAGGGTTTTGAGACGCGATATTGTGCGAAGCTGGACACCTGTCATTGGTATTCGGTACAACTGGCTTCTAGTGCACGAAAAAGGAGAATGGTTGAGTCAAACGATGGGAAAATAATAATTGTCTCTAAAGTAATCCGTCGTGCCAGATGTTTACCATATATTAGTGCAGTTAAGGACAAAGTGGTTGTCCCCAGAAAAAGAAACATTTTGAATGCGACGAAAGAACAAAATTCAGAAGTCGAAAGGAGTGACGTTCAAACCGTGAATTACTCGGCATAACCGGATGACATTCCGTTTGGAGAAGGAAAGTCCTTGAAGGAGCATGACTGTGCGTTCCGAGCTGTTTAAATAATAGTTACCGTTCCTTTATAGTCGGGTATACGTATGTTCTTCTACAATTTCGGGGCCTAATTTCCAGCTAGACAGGTTGATCGTGCGGATGGACCTTTCCGAGTGACGATACTACACTCGTGCAGCGGCAGAATATTGGCGAAACACGAGTCACCGTGTTAAACAATGCAACATGTGTAAACTACAATCCGCCCCACACTGTTAGGGTCACCTGTTTTTAGGCCAGTATAAGTCAGTATGTTTTAAGGGTAGTAGGAAATGCCTTTGAAAACCCTATTGAAAACGGCGCATACAATTTTACCGCTAAATAAACATATAACTAAAATGTTATAAGCAACATATATTTTACATGCTATGGGGCTGAAACTCGAGGACACTCAGTCGCAGGTGATAATGGTAAAAGGATATTAAAGCCATCCGCAGTAGCGGCAGGTGTATTCAAGGCGTTGGTTTGGTATAACAGAGCTGTTATGTCCAGTTGAGCGGTATTTTTCACGCAAATATACATATATTCTTTGTGTAAATGTCTCCGTGGAATCCGCCACTATCATTTCCTCGGGAAGCCCGTTCCAAGCACAGACGACTCGCTGCGAAAAAGGGTACCTGCGAAAGTCGATGTGGCATCGGGATCCTCAAGGTTTGAGAGAGTTCCCACGGAGATTTATTGTTGTGGTCAAGGCGAAGAAACCATCGAATTGCAAGATACAGTCCCGGTTCCTCACAATCCGGTACGCCCGTATGAGATCTCCTCGGATCTGCATGTACTCAAGGGGAAATGGGTTAAGCTCATCAAGTCTGCAGCTGTAAGGTAAAGTCTTGAGGTCTTTTACAATTGTGGTCGCCCTCCTCTGAACTCTTTCCAGCTACTTATAGTCTTTTTTCAGCCAGGGACGTCGCGCTTGCATTTCATATTCCATTGGCCAGCGAGTTCGAGGCTCGGGTGTTCCACACTTCGGGCTTGAGTATGGCTGGCTGACGACGGTTAATAAGCCAGAAATGGCCATTCCAGTCTCCCTTGTCTTTGTCGGTAATACTATTCTGCCTTCAGCAGGCATTTTTCGGGTCATTCATATGGACGGTTCAGTCCTTCTTGCAGGGTCCGTCCATCATTCTCCCCGTCGATCGTTCGCCATAACCTGATGTCATCAGCAAACATGACTCCATTGCAGTCCAGTCAATTAATACAGTCGTTGGCGTGAATTAAAAACAGTACTGGTCAGTGCACAGAGCCCTGGGGAACTCCACTCACAACTGGCATTGGCATTGACTTCGCGCTGCCAATGCACACAGACTGTGATCGACCAGCCAGAAAGTCCCTTACCCAATTTAATAGGTTCCCCTTCATCCTAGACTCTTGAATCTTGTAAAGTCACCGATGGTGTGGGACATTATCAAAGGCTTTCTTGAAATCGATGCAAACGATATCGAACCTTGTTCCTTCGTCTAACGGGCGGTATCACTGCTTCATTGAACAGAGGATATTAGTTAAGCAGGAGGGATTTCATCGAAAACCACGCTGGAAACTATCAAAGAAATTCTTTTCTTCAAGGAACTTCATAATGGCTTTTTGACTATTCACTCCATAACTTTGCAACGAATGCGCTTTATGCTCACCGGCCGATAATTGTTTGCTTTTGTTCTAGATTCACTCTTGTAAATGAGATATATATTCGCCACCGTCCAACCAGAGAGGAGAATGCCTCAGTCAAAGGACGACTGAAAAATATGCGGTAGCGGTCTGGTGAGTTCGCAAGCCAGCTTCTTCAGGACTTTTGCCGGTATTTGGTCCGAACCCGGAGACTTACACGCCTTAAGCGCTAGAATTTCCTTCCTCACACCTTCTTCTGTGAAGCCGATGCTTTCCATTATTGTGTCGTTTGTTTCAGTAGGCGATCCAGCCTCTTCAAAGTCCATTTCATCGGTGTAAACAGATGCGTATAACCGACTAAGATGTTCTGTTTCAACGTCATCTTCGATGATACCCTCATTGTTTTCTCCTTTCAAAACTGAGTCCGTCTCTTTGTTCTTAACCCTGCTGCTGGTGTAACTAGGGAGTACTTTTGGCTTATAAACGGCCCGTTCCATAACTTGCGTTTCATAGTCCTTTCGCGACCTGCGGATAGTTGACTTTACCTCGTTTCTCTTTCGGTAAAACTGTTCATAATGTAAAGGTTGTTTTATTGTTAAATACCTACTCCGAAGTTTATTCCTACGGGTTACCTCTTCCTTTATATCTCGCGTAAACTAGGTAGAACGATTTGTCTTTTAGACTCTCTTTGTCAGACAGTTTCGATGCATAGCACCAGTTACAACTTCTTTGAGAGTGTCCTAATCAACGTAGGGATGTCCGGAAAGAACATCATTCCAGTCCACTGCTGATAATTTCCTTCTCATGGCGGCAAAATCCCCTCGCCAGAAATTCAGCAGAGTCTCAGTCGTATTCACTTGTTGGCTGCATAGGCGGTATTCTCAAAACAGCATGACATGGTCACTCTTGCCGAGCGGTGCTATGGACCTAAGTTCGCCAGGGCTAATTGGGTCTTTTGTAAGGCGAGGTTCAGAAAATTTGCTCTTTAGTCCTGTCTGATTCTGGTTGGGAACGTGACGTTTTGTACCAGAAAGAGATTAGCCGTTAGCTTCAAGAACCTGAAATCAAAGGAATTTCGCCAACCGTTTACTAATAAATTGTTCCAGTCGTCCATGGGCGCGTCGACGTCTCCGGTTATCAGTACCTCTTGGTTTTGTGACCTCTTTAATTAACCCAAACATCGCCTCGTCAACCTCAGCAGTTTGATTGGGCGGCAAGTATACGGTCAGAAAATTCAGATTTGGTGTGCCACGCATCCTCAGTTTTAACCACATTGATTCACGGTCCCGAGGGCAATAAATTTTGTGTTCTGACGCGATGATTTTGGTAGTTCTGCATGTCAGTCCGCTTATTTGCATCAGAGCGTTAAAAGTGATAACTCCTGGCTGGAGCAAAGTTTTATCACAAAATAATTGAAGATACTATCAAGTAGTAAAAAGGATCAAAAGTTGGCTACCCCACAAGAATTAGGCTGCCTACATTTTTAGCATCTTTTCGAATGTAGACTGGGAATGCGGCGTAATATAAATGCCACATCGTGTTCAGGTTGAGACGCCGCTTACCGGTGACCAATAAAGTGAAGACAGTCATGCTAGTAATACTCATAACTCATTTTTTTCCGAAACTGACGAACACTAGTCATTTTTTGCCTTTTGCAAATGTCTTCAGGAGTACAAATAACGGAATTTAGGCGATGCTATATTTCAGCACTGCATTCAATAGAAATACCGGACGACTCCTGAAGGGATCACAGCTATAGTTAATAGCGGCATTTCGGTTAATGAAAATGACCATATTTAGAAACAAACCAGTGGGCAACAGAGGAGAAATACACCACAGGCAAAAGGAACAGTACTTTGCGAGGCATCTGTTAGAAGCGGTAGCATGCGCACTATCGAGCGAGATTTGACAGAGCTTTCCGTTTAGCACGGGAATATGAGCCTCCCATATTACAAGTGACCTTGTCCTGAATTTTGCGGAAGTTAGGGTAAGGAGCGCCAGCATTATAAGTTAGTGTTAAGATTGGGGCTAGAGCCGGGAGATTTAGGGTTAAGGCTAGTACACGGGAATATGTCCCTCCCCTGGAATTTAGCGCTGGTCACCTGTGGTATGGGAATGCCATATGCCTCGGTCTAATCGAGTTTCTAAAGGGCATAGTCGGCAGGATCATGACGCATTCACCTTTGTTTGTTGATCTGCAGCTTCCACAAGTACCACCGCTTTGATTGAAAAAGCAGGATGCTCAACCATGGATCCAGAACGTTCTGCTCAGCCGGTGACCTTTGCGAATGAATAAAAGTTGTGTTTAAATTCACAAATAAGGTGGAGTTGATATATCCTCATGGATTCACGCAGCGAAACCACAGTGTGAGTGGCCTTATAGTTGTGGTAGAGTCATTTTCTGACCATTTTTGGCGTCCGACAGCAACCTAAACTATATTGTAAGGAAATTCTGCTCTCTTTACGAGCCGACACTTTGCTCAGCCTCACGCAAAGCTATTGAAATTTGAGTCAAAATTAGGGGATCTTAAAAAAGTGGGACAGACACTGACGGGAGGAGTTGCCAGGACCCAAACGAGAACGCCTACAGGGAGGAGGTAATCGATCGATAACACAAGCAAAACCAGTTTGTGATCATGCCGGCGGCGGCTGCGCAACAATATAATTTCATACATAATTATGGTCTGTATGCGAAATTTCCGTGGCTCGTCTTCCAGATGAGTTAAAAGAGCCAATTAAAAGAACTCCGTGGTAAAGCAGTAAGACATTTCCTATTATCTCACCAGCCACAAGCATGGTCTAGTTTGTATCTTTTTTCAAACAGTAAGGCAGAAAAGTGAGGAATACTTGAAAAAAAAACAAAAGGTGAACTAATCTTATAAGGAGCCTTTTGTGCTTTAGTTTGATGGCGTTTCCACTGAGCACTCCGTCGCCTTCTTTCGACGCATGTTTTCCGTTTTTCGTTTCGTCCTCCTTCGTTCCGTTAATCACGACTCTCTTCGGAGGGATGACAATGTCGGTTATCTTACCTTTCGAGTTTTTATTCCTCTACAATCCGCTCCGCCTGTCTTATTCTTTTACCAACTAGTCCATGTCTCCAGAGACATTTTTTCGGATTTTTCCATACGTGCGTTTTGCTCATCGCTTTTGAACTTTTTGATTTTTAAAATTTTTTGCTTTCACCAGAGAGACCGGAGAGGAGAATTCAACGAACCGATCGGACAGTCTGATATCTATGAAAGTATGCATCCAGCGAATTTTACAGATTGTAATCGACGCTAAAAATAAAGTCTGGCGCATCCTCATACTTTCGCTGATCAGTGTGAACGTTAACGTGGGTATATTTCTACCTGATAATATGCTGGCTTCAAACTGACCACTCGGAAAGCAACCGGCAGAGGCGCAGCGTGCAACCCCATTCAGAGAACAAAACCCAAGTCATCATGGCATATGGTGTCCTCGTCTTTTTTGTAATAGACGTTTCAGAAGCTCTCGTAACTAGATAGAATCTAATCCGTTTCTCTCGTGAAAAAACTGAAATAACTGCGAAAATACTTAACCTTTCCTTGCAAGGATATATATCTTAATACCTCAATCATTCTTCGGGGATAGGGTTCCTGGTACGTGTGGTCTTTTGCAGGTAACTTTAGAGACATTCGGCGCGAGGAAGCTGTATGTCCCTTCAACATTTATCCGAATGCCGACATGCTTTCAGGCTCTCTTTTCCACTGGCTAACGTCACCCATAAAACCCGTATAACACGATGACCCGGTTTGTGTTCCCTGGATGCAGTCGCATACTGCGTCCTTGTCCCATTGCTTAAGTGGTATGGGTCCTTTTCATTGATTTTCGAGACCTTTACAGATTCTCCGTAATTTGTCATCGGGTCAGTGCGATAATACAGAGGATGACAATTCTATTCTCGCACATCTTATCGATACAGATCACCGAGTAGACGCCAAAGAAGCACTTCTAGTTCCCTACTGGACACCAACAAATTACTTTTGAGGCTTCTAGCAGCCGAGACGGTGGCTATTAGGCTAGCGAGTCCAGCTCTTTGTTGTCAAGTTGTTGTTGGTGCAAGTGTTCCATCTTCAGTTGCCAACTCCGATTCCAGGTTGTGATCGCACGCCGTCCTAGTGACCCCTGATGACCGTCATATGCACACCGCGTGTTCAGCTCATAGACTTGGACCGTACTTTCACCTCCCCTCTCCTCAGCCTGGTGACCACAACACGCAAACCTCGCCGTGCTGATGGCCTGGGAACGAGGAGTGTGTGGTTAACCCCCTGAGACGCTTATTCATTCTCCATGTATTTGCACTGGCCAGATGATGAGTTACTGAAAACATCTTTGCCAAGTCGACTTCTCAGAACTTCACAGAACTTTATAAATTTAGCTGTATTTATTAAAAAATACAAATAATCTCTTTTTATAATTAATTTGCAGCCAACTACACCCTTAACGTTTTTGCTTTCACAAAGTGTGCAGCTACGTACATTTTCTTGGCGGTTACACGAACGCAGTGCATTCTAATCTACGGCTTGTTGATGCTTTTAATAAAGTGTCAGAATTATCTATTTATGCTGCAGTATTCTAGGTAAAGATTAAGTATATGCGCGGGGTATGAAAATGCCAACTGTTTTTTAACAAATTCCCCAGCGTTTCAACACTCCCGCTTTGCTAGCAGACGTATGCATTCCATTTACCATCATTTCGAGTATTTTTTACTACCTTATTGCTTTTCGCGCCATACTTTCTTTTAAAATTGGCGTTAACTCTTACTGAAGAATTACGTGTGGGTGTGTGGAACGATCAACCAGTGTAGACATTTCGGCGATACCAACTCCTCGGGGAGGTACAGGTCAGCGAATGTCATCCTGCCGACGAAGGATTGACCAAAAACTCTGCAGAACAACACTTTTGAAAAATAGAGTAGGCAGTTCTCCATAGGTTTTCCTTACTTCGCGCATATACTTAGTCCCTACCGTATTTTATTTGCCTCCGGATGTGTATGCATTAGGACATGCAGGAATATGGAAAGTCGCTTTAGAACGAATGCACAGCGCAGGGGCCTCAAATCCCAAGGAGGATAACTAAGTGAAGTTAGTGCCGGATACACATTCTTATGGAGCGACCATTGAAATGAAGAACAGTGAGACACTAGAATCGTGCTTATTATTAAGAACGGCATCGCGAAGCGACTTTCGTGTCCCTTGCAGGGATTATTTGGTAAAAAACTGAAAACTTGTAGATCTGTATTTCTAGTCAAGTAAGCGCAACTTCCTTTATCTCAACTGTCTCTGTGAATACTAAGAGTTGAGTGCCGGGAAAGGCACCCCGGAAACCTAGTCTCGGAAAAGAATTGGAGTTGTTATTATTCACGTCTTAATGAGGAACATCAATTTGCGGTGGATCGGTTATAATATGAGGATGGGTGGTGAACACCTGCAAATATGGCTATTCTTTGGCGACACCGTTACGGGTTCTTACAGACAGGGCGGACAAAGGCGACACTAAAATACACCCCAAAGACCTACCTCAGGCGTCTGAAAGTAAACCAAACGGCATACGAAAATCTCATACAAGATTGGCAGGCCAGGCCAGGCCAAAGTTGCAAAGGTTCATCCCGCTATTTTGTCCGCACTGTTAACTGAGATGTAAGATACGGATCTGTCCCGTCAGGATCTTTTGATTCACGACGGTCGTTATGATCAGCCCATTTCTAACGCCACAAAAGTTAACTGCCGATGTCACCACCACCACCACCACCACCACCACCACCACCACCACCACCACCATGAGCAAAGCCAACAGCAGCTCCTACAACATCAGCATCCCAACGGTTGGCACCCGCACAAATGCCAGCACAAATGCTACCAGAAATGCGAAAAAGTTTCCATTAGACCTCACTGCAACCGCCCATTTGGAACACACATCGGCCTAGTCCATCACGCTGCGACTGGTTAGACCAGTGCATTGGATTCGTCACACACGCCTTACGTGCCCATGACAGCTCGACCGCCGCAACCGACGATGTCCACCGTACTTGCTTCGCCTTGCTGTAAAGCAAGTACGGTCACTTGAGCGTGAATTAGCTTATAGTGGTAGTAGACTTTCGCAGCATCTGCCCGACCCTCTTCTCCTCCTACACTTGGGCCCAGTGTCAAGACAGTCAAGAAGACCGGAGGCGGAGTAGGACATAGGTGGCTGCATGGTCGGACCCGCACCTAGGTGTATCATCACACCGCGGAAAAATCAGATCTACGAAAACCTTCCTAAAAGAACAGTTCAGGCCGCCTTACAACACCTCGTCCTACCCGCGCACACAGGCACTCCTAGACTGCACATTAACATACTCAACCACGCCTGTATGTACGACAACCATCTACTTATACAGCATGTATGTGATTCAATTTGCCAGTGTTATAATGGCGAGCGGACCGTTATAAGCGAGAAGGAACACATCCCACTTACGTGAGAGTTGTGCTATTTTTTGATGTCCGATCATGCTGAGTGCAGGACAAGCATGTGTGACATGCGATAAGCGGCGACTTCATGTCGGCTTAGCCAGTTCACTCAGTTCCATTCCCAGTTGGCTTAACTCCGACAATCCATTGTCGTAAGGGAGAAGAAAGAGGAAATGAGGCCGATACTCAAAGATCAGGGCATTACTCATTGGAATAAATATGACGCGCCCGAATTGATCACGGCACATCATCAGTAGTGGCTTAAGAGGTTGTTAACTGACATGATAACTCGATCTTACAAAGGATTTGGATCCATGCTAAAGTGGCTGCTTCTAAATGTGAACCTTATGGTATCCAGGAGATCTAGGAGCCCTCAAAAATGCAGCCTTCAAGTCTACTATCTGGCTAGACACGGGAATATGGACTTCACAAATTACAGGTGATCTTACCCTAAATTTCAGATGGTCTAGAATAGAGTCAGGGTTAGGAGGGTTAGGATTAGGGTTAGGGTTGCGAGAGTTTTTACTTGGATCAATGTTAAAGTTAGAAAACGGAACAGGTACGCCACTGAAATCTAACGCGAGGCCGTCTGCATTAACGGAGGGTTTCATATTTCCGTGCCCGACCTACCACCTATTCAGGTAGTACATTTTGCTAGCAGCCGGTACTGTGGGACTGAAGTTAGGTCTGATTAGAGGAACAGGCTTTAATATCATTAAAGTGCGTCCGAACTAAACTAAAGAGGAAAGTAAATGCGTAGTGGCTCAATTATAGCTCCAAGGTCCGTGTAATAATTAGAACTGTGTAGGGCAAATTCAGTGACATAACTTCGTAGTAGAAAAAATGTGATGCAACATTTGAACGCTACATCTGGTGTCCGCGGAATGGCGACCAGTTCATTCATTTAGCCATAATAGTAATGGCAAGTAACTACTCCCGTAAAATATTGCCTCTTAAATTCACGAGTAAAAACAACGCTTTAAAATTACTGATGCCAGAAGTAGTCGGCTCAGAGTTTTACATGGAGCCACAAGGTTGTCCCTAGCGACGTTGATTTTTAAAGAATCTTTCAACTCAAAATCGGAAAGCAAGTTTAGCCCTTTAACAACTTTATAATACTGCCCCATACAAGTGTGAGCTCTGGATCGTGTCTTTGCAGGAAATCTATTTGTCACTTCAGCAACTCTGAAAGCTCACAGGACTGGAGTACGGCAGCTGGAGTGAGAAGACTGGGAAAACATATGGATTTGTTAAATACAAAAATTCACGAGACCTGAGATTTACGACGGCAAACAAACATTGCTAATAACACTATCGGATAGGGTGTTTCAAGTCAGAGGCAAAGAGAATGGCAAACGAATATAAGTGAAATTTTGAGTTGTTTTTCCGACTTTTTATGGAATTTCCAAACATATTTTGTAGAAATCATGCACTAAATTTTCGTTTCCTTTAATTATTTTCTAGTCAATTACGTCTTCATAACTTCTTTTCGAAGAAATGACACCTTTGGGCTTTAAAAAATTTCTCAATCCCTGAGTAATTTTGAACCCTACTTAGCGCTCCACTTACGTTTCGAGCACGTTCTGAGGTCAAAGGCACCGAGTCAACCAGTTTAACTTCACTGCGTGGGTTTTGCGTTTGGCCTAAACAACAGGCGAAGTGAAACCTTGGATTGATGGCCAGCAAAAGAACATGGGGTCGAATACGGACCATCAAAGGGAAGCCTTTGAAACTAGCGTCACCGTAAAGATTTCGTACCACCTTTGAATTCATAATTAGCTTCATGCCACGAGAGCCTACTCAACTAATCCAAACAGAATTTACTTTGACAATCACAGAAAAATAATGGGGAACTGGCTTTTGGCTGGTCTTTAATTTGTCTTCTCAATGAATTTTCGAAGCCGCATGTAGACTAAACTCCGATTTGGTCAAAAATCACGCACCTGTAGGAGGTAAACTTCTTGATTACGCTCGATGAGCAGGATAGCACGTTCATTTCTTATACGAGCGTTCCGTTCACAGGCCTTCTTCATTGCAATGATGCTCGACTCCGCCTGGTTGAACATCAGATTCAGGCGAGCTATGGCCTGACGCATCTGCTCCCGTTTGGCGTCCTGCATGGCAGTCACCGCGGCCATTTTGCAGTATTCATGGCGTTTGTGGTCCCGTTGACAAATCAAATTCATAATGGTCTTACGCATGTTCAGGAGATCGTTCTCTCTCTTCTGGGCAAGAGTCAGTAGAATTTCCGACTCATTGGCCTGTTGACGCAATCTTTCTCGGGTGTCAGTGGAGACCCTAATAGCTACCTGAAGCAGACTCACACATTTGTTGCGCTCCATCTTGACTTCAGTATATTTCCTGGAGACCTCATTCATTTGTGCCTAGTGAGAGGTCGAACAAAAAACAGCTTTTCTTTATTGTAAATGGTTGTTGCACCATCAGTAAGCACCATAATTTCCTCTACTTTTCGGAAAAATAGCGAACACAGAAAACAAGTAATATAACTCTCGCTTACACTCGGAAGACCAGCACAATGGTACTGGTGTTAAGTGCTATGACATAAGGAAAAAACATAAATGGTAGCGAAAATATGATATCCAAGTGGCATGTCAAAAGAAGTGGAGGCGCTCGTCGAGAGAGGTTTATTTGAAGTCTGATGTTTCCAGTAGTGCTTTCGGCTACCAATATTCAGAGACTGGTGAGTCCTGTGCACACCGTCACACCAAGAAGCCTAGATATTCATAGACCGCCCAGTCAACTGCCGCACCCATTTGCTTCCTCCCTGGCTGATTTTACGAACCATCGGGACGAAAGGCAATGACGGCGCACAACAATCGGGGTCGCCGATTATTGCGCTGGTGGATGAGGAGGAGGGCACAGGTCACAGTGAAACGGGGGTCTGATTCAGCCCCACAGTCGGCATTGGCGACCGGCTCAGCAAGCAAGATGGGTTATATACTGAGAACAGTGTACGGAACTCACCAGATCTCAAGTCAACCTCTCCTAACGGCTGTCTCTTCGTTTGATAAAAAGGTATTCAAATCATCCGTCCCACAACCGGTTCGATTTGATTAAACGTTTATGGGGGAACAGATTCAGACATGCCAGACGCAAGTTCACTAGTGTCTAGTGTCGATCATTTACTGGAATCGCCTGTAGTAGAATCCTTAGAAAGAGACGGAGAAAAATCTTATTTTGCTTGAAGCATCAGCCAGGACTCTACGTCTCTATCTGTCGAGGTGATAAACGAAACAAAAGGACGAGTTAACAGATCAAAACGGACAGTACTGGACATAGATAGTGATACGGAAAACAAAATCTATGATCACACGCCACACGGTGCTTTCTACAGTAAAACGCGATTACCACGCATCTAATGGAAGTTCATCGAAAAATGGGTACTGCGGCGCACTAGAGGTTAGCAAAAAACTGCGCGCCATGAAAGGAATTTGTTTTCACCAAAGCCTTTTGTTACAAGACCTTGATGCTTATTCCCAGGAGCACTTTAACAGTGAATGCAAATAGACCACTGACGGGCAGTGACACCTAATGTTTCTGAGACTGATCATAAATAAAAAAGTCTAAAAAATATTTATTCTGCTGTGGTTTAAGAGAAAAGATCTTGGAAATGACACTTTTAAACCTTCGAGCCTAAACTCTAATTAAGAATGTCTGTATTTGGACGACTGCATCAGCGTTTGGACTGACAGCGCGTTTCCAATGCAAGTTTGAGAGAAAGGATTTGTGGCTCAAGTTCTGAACAGCAGTCCGCTTGGGAAGATTGCATACTGCATTCTTCATTTTAACGTTCTGGTGTCGAAAACCCTGCCTAATCAGATGGCCAAGATGAGGAATGAAGTCGATAGCCATTAACCGCATTTGAATGATTTTGCTCCGTTACAGAATTTGGGCCCATTTATGCGAAGCGACACATTCGGATCATAAGTGCCTATCATATAGCACAGGACTTCAATGGTTTTTGAATGGAGGAGTACTCAGATGAGTTATATTTCTGTGAACGGAAATCCTTGTTTTCTCAAATATTGAGAAGGTAAGCTTCAAAATTCATTACAACGACGTATGTGGGCCTCAGGCGTCTCTCGTTAATGACTGATTATAAAACTTGAGAGTCCTACATTGGAGTTCACGAGATTAACAGAAACCATGATCAACGTCACGATGCATGCAAAACTTCTAAAGACGACTTTCAGCTGTTATTTAAGGAAACAACACATTCACAGCTCGATTGATTAGCAGACCTCAGGGTATAGCCTACACGACAGTTTGGCCGTCGATTACGATGTTCACCGTGTGCACCACAGTAGCGTGAAAGCAGAGACGGTGACGCGCGGGATTTCTCTCATAGTGATAGTAGACTAACGCGGCATCTATCGCACTCTCTCCTCCTTCCACACGTAGACCCGGTACCAAAACAGTCAAGAAAACGGGGGCGGGAGAAGGCTCAGGTGGCTGGCGCGCAAAAACCCTGGTCACAAAGTATAATGACCAGGATTTTACGCAAGAAATAACGGGGCATCTCGGACCCCAGGTTTTATTTTGCAGTGTCAGGGACATAGAAAACTTTTATCTTTGCGCACTGAACATAGACGGAGTAAGTGCGTTTCGGCTGTCACGATATTTCACTGGTTAAAAAGGTAATATAGGAAGTGCAGCTCGTGCATTTAAGAGTAAACGAAATTCCATTTAACGTAAGTGCAATATGAGTCCTAACCCATGAACGGTGTCAAAATTTGTGAATAAGGGCTGGTCGCTTGCAAACCGACACCAACAAATGGACCTAATCTCTATGTTAATAAATAACAACTTTAGAGGAATCGAAAGCACAAAATAAATATAAAAGACGGTTGTACGTTGGTTAAAATGCCGATTTTTTAAGGAAAACTGTAAATCGCGAAAATGTCAAGACATGCATGTGAAAAACCAAGTATTGGAGCAAAAATAAAGTACTTTAGGGTAAGGTAATACCATACTAACAGCGCAGATACTAACCAAAAGCCCACATACGCGTGCTTCGCCGATATTCTGCCGCTTCATGGCGCAGCGGCGAGAGGTTCGGCTCGTCAGTGAGTCGCCCAGCATTCCTCGTCTGTTTTCTGGTAGATACTCCAATTTAGAACTTGTCGCTTTTTAATTTCCTCAGAAATTAACTACGAACTACGGCAGTTAAGAAATATAACGCGGTTACCAACTGTGGCTGATAGGCTTCGGCCCAAACATTCATACGTAAAAATCTCGGTCTGAGCCTATGGACCTTGAATAAACTGATCTACTCCAAGTCCGTAGTTAATTTCCGAGGAAATTAAAAAGCGACAACAAATAAAATAGCGTTTTAAAAGAGCATTTTAGTGAAATTAACATCTAAACGTCTTTAGAGAACTAGTGTAATCTCAGGTATAACCACTTGCGAACAGCCTATATTCAGAGTGTAGATTTTAAAACAGTTTTCCGCGGATCCGTGGTTTTCATTACTCTTTTGAATTGATTGACATGCGGTTCAATAAGGCAAACAGGATTTTGCTTGATTCCGCCAATAGGAACGTCGGAGAAACAACGGTTTTTATAAGTGTACATGCAGCCAGGCAAGTCATTGACTGGTGAGTTTAAGGAGAATTAGCAGGTGTAACCGTAAACATACCACTTTGTGTATATAAAGAGGAAATTTCTTCCATAAAATAGACTTTCATTTTTAGTTTGTTCTGGATTACGTTAAGTATCAGATGGGCCTTGGAATATCGCTAAATACTTCATGGTTTTCATAGTTTTCTATCGATTGCCCATAAAAACAGATTCTTTATTATGTGTCCTTTGACGTGGTTTCACTATTCACATCCATATCATCGGACCTGGCAAGCGAAGTTCTTCGCAAATGACTCGAAGAGAACAACGTCGAAACGGACAGACATATAAAAATCAACCATTTACTGCAACTCTTTGCTTTCTGCCAACAAACCAATATCCAGCCTGGTTGCGGAACTAGTCTTACAGGGGCTAGAAAAAGTCGCCTTTGACCACTATGAACCTGCGTTTTGGCACCGGTACGTAGACGACACGTTCGTTAAAGTTGAAGGGAGCAGACTAGCAAACTTTTAAGACCTGCTTAACGGCATCTTCCCCGACATTCAGTTCACAAGGAAAGAAGAACATGCCAAACAATTGCCTTTCCTAGACGTTCTCGTCACACGCACACCCAATGGTGAACTTAGCACCGCAGCTTATAGAAAGGAGGCTAACACGACTCAAGTTCTCAACTACTATAGTAACCACCCGGTGGCGCATAAACGCAGTTGCGTTAGGGAACTCTTACAAAGGGCAAAAACGCATTGCAGTGAAACGGAGGGATGAGCACGAGAACTACGGCATCTTCGGGACCGACTGGCAAAGAATGCCTACCCAAACAGCTTCGTCAGCCGCTGCCTCCGCACGCACTCAAAGCGCCCAAACGGAGGAGAGCAGCCAACACTCTGACACCCTCTACCATATATAAAATATGTGTCCGAAGCAACGGAACGTATCGCTGGGGACCTCGGCGTGGGTATCGCTCACCGTCCGACAGCAACCATGCGCTACAAAATCATGCAAATGAAGGATCGACCAGACTTAGGAAAAAAATCAAATGCCGTTTATCAGATCCCATGCCGCGACTACCCGCGCCATTACACAGGACAGATCGGACGACGGCTTAGCTCGCGAATAACGGAGCACAAACTGACAGTCCGGAGAGGCGAACCGCTGTCTCGGGTCGTTAGTCGACAGTTCGACCGTCGATTTCGACGATGCCACCGTATGCTCCACGGCAAGGCGCAGCAGGCACGGCGACTTGCGCGTGAATTAGTTTATAGTTATAGCAGACTTGCGCCGCATCTACTGCACTCTCTCTTCCTCACTTCCAACTTGGACTTGACAGAGTCAAGAAGACCGGAGACGGGAGGGCGCATGTGAATGGCACGGTTGAGCCCGCACCTTGGCGTTCCACTCCAAACTCCCTGGTCCACTTAGCAAATGACAAGGTTTTTGACCAACAGCAACAACAACAACATCCCAAAAAGGGTCAGAAGAACGAGAATGATGACTCGGCAACCATGCCCACCACCTGTATGCCCAGCGGGAGTGCACGCGCATCTACCAGCGGGGAAAAAGGTGCCAGGGGACTGCCAGCGTATTTCAGGCTGTTAGGGCCATGTTTTGCTGATACCGGCGTAGCACACGCTTTCAGACCTTTTGACCTATAGGAGCGACACCTGGCCCTGCATTTAGCCTGGGCCGTCACCCTTCACGGTTAGGTAACTAAACAGCCCTCGACTGAGATGCACTACCCATAAAACACACACACACTCCTCACATACACGGGAATGTCACAGAGCGCTTGAGAAGGGCCCATGACAGCCTGATTCTTAGCCCACCAGTCCACCACCCCACAAAACACACAACTGGGCCGATTGCGTGGACTGAGTTGGGACGTCAGTTGGTTCCCTTCCAAACCACGGCGCTCGACGCATCGTCTTCGTCTCAGATTCCGATCACGCATGCAGCAAGGGAGCCGCGTGGTGAAGGGGCCGAGACGCACACTTCTCACTTGCGTGGGAGGAGACAGTTGGGTGCTTGCGGTGGGTGATGCTGATGTGAGGTGAGATGCTGGTAATAGAGGATGTTAGGGTGTGGTGCAGCCAGCGGTTGGCTACAGCAGGTTTTCATGGACGCGCATGTGGCCTAATAAACCCATGCGGTGAATAAGTGTGCGAGTTCAATGTGGACAGCGGAGGTGGATGCGGCGAGTGTAGGTTGATTCTCCAGGCACTGGGTCTCCAGTCTCTGTGCGATGGATTCGCAAGTGGCCGACCAGGCCGATGCGTGAGGTGAATGTGGGGGGACACTGCGGACATGAGAAGTTTGCGGCGTCAGTACCAGCTACGGTGATTGAGACGGTGGAGCTGGTGACGGTGAGCGCGCTGGGCAGCTGGGTGTGGGTTGAGCTGAGCATGGTGAGTGTGCAAGATGTACTGAGTGTGATGGAGCTGGTGGCGGTGTCCGCGCTGGGTAGCAGAATGTGGGTGGGTGTATGCTGGATGTGTTATGTGTGTCGAGATTGCTGTCAGTTCCGCTCTCATGGATACGCATGTGGCCGAACAGGCCCATGCGATGCTTGAATGCTCGTGGGCAGTGTGGACAGTGGAGGGAGATGCGGTGGGTGTAGGTTGGTGCTCCAGGCACTGATTCGGCAGTTTCCGTGCGATGGATTCGCAAGTGACCGACCAGGCTGACGTGTGAGATGAAGGTGCGATTGTAATTTGGACAGTTATAAACCCGGTCCTCATCCCTGATGTGGACCGTGACGCTGTTGGTGTTTTTTTGGTGTGTCAGGATTGTTTGTAGTGTTGATTGGGATGGCAGGTGCCACAGCGGCAGACGTTGAGGCGGTGGAGGAGGAGGAGAAGGAGGAGGATGGTAGTGGGGGTTCGGGAGGGCGATCAGTGTTAGTTGACGGCGTGAGAGGCGAGGGAGAGGTGGACGGAGAGACGACGGTTGGTGCAGTCCTGATGCCGCAATTTATCTGAAGGTGTCCAACAAGTCCAATTGGCAACCGGAATGTCCGTTGGCGTCGAGGGCACGTTGGGGGTGGTTGGGCGTTGGCGTTACGAGGCAGTTATGGCGGCAGTTGAGATTTGCGCGTCTTGCGTTTGACTTTAGCGGCGGTGATGCGGTTGGCTTCGAAGACTGCAACGCCTGTCTTCACTGCTCTGCTTTGCGTAGTTCAGTCCCGGGCGAGGTCGTCTCAGTTTGCCGTGTTGACTTGCAGGCGTTTCAGGGAGGTTTTCAGAGTATCCCAGTAGCGCCCGACGTGACCTCCTTGTCGGGATGAACCCATGGCGACATCACCATAGAAGAGTCGTTCGGGTAGCCTCTCGTGGTCCATCCGTACGAAGTGGTCGCTCCAGCGTAGTTGCAGTTGTCTTAGCATAATGCAAGTGTCGTGGATTCCCGTTTGCTCCAGTACGTCCGTGTCTGAGATTCGGTCCTGCCACCTCAGCTTCAGTATTCGGCAAAGACAACTGAGGTGGAAGTGGTTGAGTCGGCGTAACTCCTTCACGTACACCGTCCAAGTCTCTGCTTCACACAGGAACGTCGGTAGGATGACGACCTTCTACATCTTCAGTTTCGTGTCGAGTTGAAAAGCGTAGCGATTACAAGCTGTGTGTTGAAGGCTTGACTGGACTTGGAAATCCGGCGGACACTTCCTCGTCGATTTTGGTACTGCGGGAGAGGGTGGTGCCCAGATACGTGAAGTTGTCCACGACTTGCAGTTGAGTTCAATTCACGATCATTTACGGCGCCTTGTGGGCTGTGTTGGGTGGCGGTTGGTGCATGATCACTGTCTTTTCCGGTGTTATCGAACAGACCGAACTTCTTGCAGGCGGCGGTGAAGAGGTCCATGCTCCGTCGCATCTCCTCTTTCGAGGTGGCGTTGACGGCGCAGTCATTGGCGAACAGAAGCTCGTGGATGGTGATTGTGGAGACACGCGATTGAAAATGCATCCTCCGGTGGTTGAGCAGTTGACCATCCGTCCTGTAGGTGATGCGGATCCCCGGGCGTTCGTCACGGTAGGCGTCCATCAGCATGGCAGAGAACATGAGAGCGAAGAGAGTTGGCGCCAGGACGAAGTCCTACTTTATTCCGTTGGTCACTACGAATGCTTCTGAGACAGCTCCGTTGCCCGTGACTGACGCCAGCATGTTGTTGTGGAGCTGACGCGCCATCTGAGTGAATCCTTCGGGACAGCAGAATTTCTGCATGATTTTACACAGTCCTTCACGATTCACCTTATTGAAGGCCTTCGTCAAATCCACGAAGGTAGAGTACAGTTGAGTCCGCATCTCCTGGTACTTTTCCTACAGTTTTCGGACGGCGAAGATAATGTCCATGGTCCCACAATGACGGCGGAAACAGCATTGGCCTTCCGGCAGAAGACCTTGCACTAGGTGGTTGTTCAGACGGTTGAGAAAGATGCGAGCGAAGATTTTCCCGGCGATATTCAGCAGCGGGATGCCTTTGTGACTGTCGCAGATTAGGCGGTTTCCCTTCCATTTGTATAGATGCACGGTTGCGGCGTCCTTCAAATCCTGAGGGGATTCTCCTTGACGCCACCTCTCCTGGAGGAACGCCGTCAGATGATCCATGAGTTTGGGGCCACCTTACTTGTAGATCTCAGTAGGGATCGCGTCCGATCCGGCCGCTTTCCCGCTGGAGGGTTGCTGCACGGCCCTGATGGTTTCATGGAGAGAGGGCAGGAGGTCGAGGCCGACTTCGGTCTCCACTTCAGTCAGACGGGCGATGGCGGCGTCGGAGATTGTGGAGGGGCGGTTAAGGACGCCTCGAAAGTGCTCAACTCATCGCTGTAGTATTTGCGTCTTTCCAGTGAGTAGGGTGCTTCCGTTGGTGTTGAGAAGAGGAGCAGTTCCTTTGGTTGGCGGACCGTAGACTTCCTTGGTCGCGCCAAAAAGTTCTCTTTTTTTGCGCTTCGCGTGCCCTTGGATCTCCTCGGCCTTGCGAGCCGTCCAGGCGTCCTGCATCTCACGCGGAGGCTGTTGTGCAAGGTGGCGACTGCGGTAGAAGGTTGTTTTGTTGTCGTCGGTGGGAAAGTGACGTAGGCTATGCACAGTCGGTTCTTCTCAACGAGCGGGTTGTTGATGGCGGCGTCGTCATCGTCGAACCAGTCCTGGTGTTGGCCACGTGCGCGACCGAGGACGGCCAGCGCCGCCAACTGGACTGTGTCCCGCAGTTGACACCATCGGTTCTCCACGGTGGCGTTCTCAGCAGCGGCGTCGGCGGCAGCGATTGGAAGGTTGTCTAGCCGTCGAGCTAGCTCATTGTTGACACGGACATACTGAACAGGTAAAGACAACAAAGCAATACTCAACTTACCTGGAAGTCGCCTACCTTGAGGTCTCCTGCAAGGCTGCAGACGAATTCGCATCTCGGAGATGACGAGGCGATGGCCGGTTCACCCGACGGCCTCCGCAATCGCCTGTATCACCAGCACGTCCAGCTGGTCTCGCTTCCGGACGGGGACATAGACCAGCAGGTGCCACTGATGCGACCGAGGATGCCTCCAGGTGGCCTTCTCTCGCATCAGGAGGCGGAAGGAGGTTTTCGTCAGGATGAGGCTGTGTTCTGCGCAGGTTCGTAGTAGGAGCAGGCCATCGTCATTGGATCCGTTGCATCCAGCACTCCTCTCCAGGCAGCATGATCTGTGCCGACACGGGCGTTGAAGTCACCAAGGCCGGTCAACTTATCCGCCTTCGACACAGCCGCCGGGAGGCCGTGCAGGTCCTCGTAGAATTTGTCCCATGCGGCATCAAGGCTGTTCATCGGGAGAGCGTTGACGCTGATGTTGGTGGCGAATTTGCCTCCCCGACGAGGCAGGCGGAGTCCCATCAGGCGATCATTGATGTCCTGCGGCAGACAAGGCCGTCGTCCCACGACGTCGTTCCGGATGGCGAAGGCGACGCCTGCGTCTCGTCGTTTTGTCCTGTGGCGACCGCTCCAGAAAAAGGTGTAGCCGGCACCCACCTCCTCCAGTTGGCCTTGTTCGGAGAATCGGGTCTCGCTAAGTGCGGCTATGTCCACCTTGTAGCGCGCCAGTTTCCGGGCAACTAGCGCCGTCCTCCGTTCCGGTCGGTTGCTCCTCGGATTGTCTAAGAGGGAACGAACATTCCAGGCTGCCGGAGTGAGCGGACTCACCCTGCCAGTCTGGCGATTACGGCGGCGAAAAGGAGGAGGGGAAGAAGGGGAATAGGCAGGAAGAGGAAGAGAGAGATGGGTGTTGTTTCGGTTTTGACTGTTTCGGCCGTGTTTGTTTTGTCTGCGGCCACGGCCAGCCAACAGACAGCGTGGTTCCCAGCAGTTTTTAGGGCACCTTTTCTAGCCCCTTCCCCCTCGCGTGGGCAGGCAGCGCACCCCCTAAATAAGGCTGCCCGACTATCCCAGACGTCTGCCGAACTCCACTATGGGTCACGACTTTTTGTTAGTGAGAGAACGACCCTTTCTAGCTCTTTCCCCCTCGTGGGGGTGAGCAGTGCTCTCGCTAAATAGGGATGCTCGGTTTTGTTAGGCGTCTGCCAAAATCCGCTATGGGCCACGCCTTTGTTTAGTGGAAGAACGACCCGAGTTAGCCAGGGATTGCCAACGACATCACCTTAAGCTGAAGGGACGGAGGTTAGGGGAGGGTAGAGAGACGGGATGCAGAGCTTCCCCGTCATTTTCTATGTTAACTGGTTGCTGAAATATAAGCGGGGAGTAGACACAATCAACAGAACGGCATTTAGTTTGAAGTAGGGAAGGACACGAACAAGCAGACAATGGCAAGCAAGCATAACAGCAGGAAGTAAAGGCAACAGATGAGATTCAGCAGAACGGTAGTTAGTTTTTAAAATAACAGACGCGAGACCTGAAAGCACTGTCCCAGTAATCGTGCGTTCATCTTCTTTATATTAGGTGTTTGCTCTTAACAATGGGATACTTCTTGAGAGCTTTTACTGAAGTGGCGGGTACTGTGGCGTCTCTTCATGTAGAAGATCGTTTGGGTCACATTTTAAGACTCATCCAAACAGAAGGCCTCATCATCGAATAAAACGAACGTCCACAACAAAAGTCAACAACGAGTATGCGTTCGACCAATTAGAAAAAATTTTCCAATGAGTCACCCTTTTAATAAGTGCTTTAGTATTTCATTACGTTGACGGATGTCTGTGCACCTGACATTTCTACACGATAAAGTCAAGAAAGAATTTGACGCTTTTGGCGAATTCTTTGGCGTTGTTAAAAAATACCGATATTTTCCTACCGCAAACGTAAAAGCATGCCTATTGACATTGCATCCATGCTCGCCATCTCTGCTCACTGTTAGTCTCCGTTCTACGATTATGAATGTTGTGCGGAGTAGCCATATAAACGCTGATATTGTGCTAAAACTGCCAATATACTGCTCGTTCTATTTCTAAATTACGTATGTACAGAAGCTAGACCACAGGAAACGCAATGTAACATATGTTAAAACCTGATAATGACTATTTGGGGCTAGTGCTTTCTGTGACAACCGAAATAAAAAACAATCACGGCCCACCTAATCGGCAGATTGATTATGTGCGTTATTATTGCTCATTAGGGCATCAAGTCGCACAGACTTGCTAATATAACTTTTTAAATCGACAAACCATCTGATTCTCTAAAAACAACCCGTGAGTTAGTAAAATGATTCCCGCGATCAGCATCGAACAAAAAAGTAAATTTTCACATGCGAAAAGCTCTGTTTAGCAAAACTTTTGAGAGTAAATTACTCTCCTCTCAAATGAAAACACGTTCGAAGAGGCAACCGAAGTCTATGATAGGTACTAGCACAGGAAATTGCACGAATATATCGCAACACATTTTCGCTCAAATTTATGGACATTTTGGTTGAGAAAATGGTATGACACATTTTCTACATAAGAAAAAGGCATATCCTTGAAGAGGTTGGACGAGCAAGAAAAATGCGCAACGTTTAAGACGCCCAAAAATTCCCACATATGTTTCTATCACCAGGCTTCATGAGATGGGCCACGCATTGTAAGTCTCATGTTAAATGCCTACAGTAGTCGATCAGGAGATTAAGAGTTTGTTCTTGATGGGTGATTCCAAAAAGTCGCTGGTGGCAGGTAATCACGAACATGTTTGGAGGAATGTCAAGATATCGCTTTTACTGCCATAGACATTTAAAATGCAAAAATATAACATGGAAATGCTGAGTCCTTTGGTAGTAGCGGTCATCACTTGTCAATATGGCTAAAAAAATTCGAAAACTACGGGTACGACAGGGTGTGGGGCGGTAATGTGAAACTCCTTCCGTAATTCCATGCAAAAGCAGTTATTAATAAATCAAAATAAACTGCAACTCCAGTGTCCAGATCACTAGCGTGAAGGTACGGTATATTGCTGCTGCTGCTACTACTACTACTACTACTACTACTACTGCCGCTGTCGCTACTATTAATAGTAAAAGTAACAACACAATAATGTTAAAAAACTTCGCTAGTACTGATGGTGCCTTGATTCGTAGACGGGACACAAGTTTCAGGAATTATCTTTGTAGTTTGTTCAAACAGACGAGGGAGTTAAACGTTAGATTTGCCGTTTACCTAAGAAAATGATCAAAAATGAATAGAAGAACTCGCGGAGGTAATTGGCCCCTCGCAGTGGGCCACACGGGAGTCGCGCTGGACCAATAAGGGGACCAGATTAGGGTCCCGCATGTGTTCTTAGACTTTCTTAGACTGCTCCACACACCAAATGTCATAATTTGGGCGTGGTGGCAAGCCCAGGCGTAGGCCCACGTCACGCCATCCACCTGCGTCACATCCCACTTTTGGTTTTTCTTGAATCAGCCCTGACACTGTACCCAGGAAGCTGAGGAAGAAAGGGGTGTGGTAAATGAAGCACAATTCTATTATCACTACAAATTGATTAACACACAGTTCACCACCTCTGCACCCACCGTACTATGGAATACCTGGTGGACGCCGTTGGTAACGATGATCGAACTGTCGAATACGAAGAAGAACTAAAGGCTTTCAGAATCCCAGGGTCTACTATAAGGTCCGCAATGCTATCCGCAGCCGGCCAAAGAATGAAATTAGTAAGAGAATGGGTCCACGGGACAGGATAGTGGGAGACTGCCTTCGAAGTTCAGTGGGGGTGAGATGGTCTGCGAGGGAGAAAAACATTACGACATAGCCACGATTCGCCGATCCGTAACTGGGGTTTGCAGGCGATATTAAGATACAAAGCCGTTGTATTCCCATTTCCATTCATTCGGGGGTATTCTGCGTTAGCACAAGGAAACAAAGCTCTTTAGAGTAAATAGCAATTCCTTCTTCGTTTTTCCGTGTCATTTTATAACGCTGTCTGCAGATTACGTCTGCGCGTCTCTAAAGTAATCGAATTTCTTGTTATAATTGCTCAATTCAACAATAAGTGAATGAGCGTTTTTGAAAAACGCTGAACTTTCACCGGGAAAATTCAATTTGATTCGAGATAAAAAGGTCCTCTTATACTAAACTCTACGTCTATGATAATGACCGATGCCATTTTAATCCAAGAGTCAGCCTGGAAACATCTCCGCCATCTTCTGGTGGTGATCCTGATGACAAATTATGTTGCATCTCTGTGGAAGGACTGATCATTGTCGCACGTGCTAATGGTAATGAGGCGAGGGCACTCTGTGGGCAGAAACCCTGTGAACTTTTGATAAGACTATATGCAATTGGAAAAGGCGCAGAATCACCCAAAGTTCCTTCATCTTTGTTCTACGCAAAATGAAGTTTGTCTGTCGTATGCAACGATGTCCACTGTGTCCCATAGGTGCAGAAGAGTGACCTGCAAGTGAATTAGTTTGTAGTGATGGCATACTGTCGCAGCATCTGCCGCACTTTCTTCTCCCTCACCCATCTAGGCCCGATTGGCAAGACTGAGTCAGGACGACCGGAGTCAGATTCGAGCACAGTGACTGGCAAAACTGAACAGCCTGTATACACGTGCTACGCACGACCAGGTCACCACGGAATGTAGGTGACCTTTACGAGGGCGGATCGGATCCCACCTAAGTGAGAGTGTAAAAGAGGCCACATTAAAAAGGAATCATGGCGCTTGGCTCTTAGTCCTCGAGTCAGTCAGCCTACATACACAGCACTGGCCACGAGGGCTGAGTCAGCCCGTCAGTCGGAAAGCTGCCAACACGAAATAAACATCGGACGACAAATCCGAAGATGAGGAGTACGGACATAAACGGTGCATACACGTCAGATTCCGCCAGAGACCGGAAGTAGGATTGTGTGCCGTATCACGGGCACAATTTACAGCTGTGTACAATTGGGCTTTTTGGCTAAAAGTCCGCTAATGTGACTCAATTTCCCATCGCCGACATGCCTACATTGTGAAGGCGGAGTTATTTCTTACTTAGAACCGTAATGAAAATGGAAATTCAAAACTTTTCCCAAGTTTCTTAGCGTTTTTCGTTCGCATTATCGAAAGTAACGACAAATACGTTGCGAAGTATTAACAATAAACCTAAATTTAATTCGTCTCGAAATACATGGC